TCTGATCCAACTTGGATTGCTCTAAATACTTCGCAGTCTTCACAACGTGTTTTGTTGCACCGTTGTCCATCCACCAGTCGACCTCTGAGTTTGCCTCTGCTGCAAACACGCCATTGTGGACTGAGACGAGAATTACCGTTGGTTCTGCACAATTTCCTTGTTCAGCATTCTGGTGGCTCTGCTTCGGACGTCCATCCTTCTTCCATTTAGTGCAGCTCCTGATCCAGTGCACCTTTTTCTTGCAATAGTGGCAGGTATCGAATCTCCGACCAGATGCTCCTGAATCCTGACGATGCTCCTTTTTTGCTGTGGTAGAAAAAGCCTCCTGGTTTTCCTTTTCGTCATTTTCTTTTGTTCTAAAATTTCTCTCAAACATAACATGATTAGTTAATTCGTCGAAAGTCTTTTCTTCTTCTTTTGTCAAGAGCATCCAACTTTGACGGAACGTTTCGAATGTTTTTGGCAAAATATATTCCAATATTCCAATTCTTCCTTCAAAGTGAACGGACGTGTTTTTTTCTTGCGCTCCCGATTTGGGTAGAATTTGTCTAAAAAACCTCCGGGGTTTACTAACATTTAATATTTGGTGTTTCAAATAATTCCAGTTCACTTCGCGTGTGCATGCTACTTGTTTATTTTGTGCTATTTAATTCAATTTAAATTGCATTTTAATTTGGGCTGCTGCGGTTGCTTTGCATTTTGCTCTTTTTGCATTCCCTTTTGTGCCTTTAGCGTTTGTTGTTGTTTGCGTTGCCGCGACAGCTATAAACGGTTCTACTCAGCGCTTATCTCTCGCTCTCCTGCTCATTGCCCCCCCCGCTCATCAAGTGCCGCTGCATTTAATCCCTTGCGCCCTCTCTTAAATAGTGGAAGTACAGTGGTAAGTCCTTATAATGTCCCATAATATGGTCTGCTTTGCCAAAAACTGTAAGAAAAATATTACTTACGGTGAACTCACCATCACCTGCTGGCTGTGTGACAACATAGTACATGCCAAGTGCATTGGCGTTGTTGCACGGACAGTAGATGACGTGGCCAAAAATATCGGCGTACGTTACTGCTGTGAGGCCTGCCGCGAGGTGGAGAGGGAAATGACGTCTTTTATGCGGCAAACCAGGGGTGGTTTTAAAGAGCTATTATTGAGTTTTCGCAAAACTCAAGATATGCTCTTGGCGCTGGATACTCAATTTAATAGCCTCAAGCTGTTAAATGAGTCTCCTAGGGGCAAAAAAACCGCAACTGGTGGGCAGCATACTGGCGGATCCCAGCCACCAGTGATAGGCACTGCACAGCAGCCTGCCTCGACTCTGCCCCCGACCCCGGGACAAATTCCAAGAATCCTGCGATCGAGCGCTAAAAAAGATTCGGTATCCGAATGCGTCGCGGGTGCGACCGTGCCCCCGGTGTTGCCTAGTTCCGTTTTGTCCACTGGGGGGTCCCAACTCTTGTCTCAGCCCTCTCAGAGCCCTAATCCCAGTCCCTGCCAGGGTATTAGGCCCGGACTACCGGCCGAAAGTGGTATGGTGGCTCAGTCTGCCGTGCCAAAACCCCTTACGGCAATTCCACCAACAAAACAGTTATTTGTTCCGCGGCTTTCCCCTGATCAGACATCGGAAGATGTCATAGCTTTTATCCAAGGCAAAGTAAAAGTCGATAGAGAAAAAAATTAAGGTGGAAAAATTTAAATTTTCTTAACCAAGGAACATTTCGTCTTTCAAGATAAATGTTCCTGACGAAGTCTTTGGCACTCTATGCTCGGTCGAAGCTGGCCACAGTATGTGGTTGTCAAAGAGTTTGAAGGTACGAAAAAGAAAAAGCGGCCTGTAGGAATTACTCTTCCTAGGCCAGATTTGCCCAATGCTCCGTCTACGTCTTCCAATTCCGTCCCAAAAAACTAACCAGTTCCCTTGGTATTTCCTATCAGAATGCAAGAATCCTATCAGAATGCAGCGTCGCATTTGCTTCCCAAGTTATTGTGTTCACAGAAACCTGGTTAAAGCCGGAGATTCTGAGCTCCGAAGTTTTTCCAGCTGCGTTCACAGTATACCGGCTAGATCGGCCTATCAGACGTGGGGGAGGTGTCCTTATAGCGGTCGACTCCACTCTCACGTCCGAATTAATAACTTTCGAGGAATCCAACAATGTTGAATTCCTTTGCGTGAAGCTATCAGTTAATGGTAGTTCCATTTTTGTTATATGTTCCTACATTCCTCCATTGTCGGAACTTCCTATTTATTGGAACCATCCTTCCGCTATTCAGTTGGTCTCCAAAAGACTTTCGGATAGGGACCATTTAGTAGTTCTTGGTGATTTTAACATCCCAGGGGCTATTTGGTCCCCAGATAATTCCACAAACACACTTCTTACGACAACACATCATGATTTTATTGCTGGCTTGTTTGACATTTCGCTGTCCCAAGTCAATCATGTTCGAAATTCCTTAGAGCGCTTGCTTGATCTTTGTTTTGTCTCAGATCCTGAACGAGTTAGTTTAGCTAGGGTGTCGCCCCTGACGCAACCCGAAGATCCCTATCATCCCACTTTCGATGTGACTATCGACATGGGGACTCTTTCACGGAATAAATCTGATAGTCCAGCCCAAGAAGTCGTCTGCTTTAGCAAGACAGATTTCGAACGGCTGAATAATTTCATAATTAATTACAACTGGTCCGATCTATACACATGCACTGACATGGCGGAAGCCGAGGGTATTTTTTATCGTGTTATGAATTCATTTTTTATTGACTGTGTTCCGTTATACTGTCCGTCCACATCAAACAAGCCTCCTTGGTTTACCAAAGAGTTGACCCGCCTCAAAAATAGAAAATCAAATCTATATGCTAAATATCAACGTACCGGTTCTCCGATTGTCCTATCTAGTTATTTATCAGCTCGATCCACTTTTACTGTGTATAACGCGCAGTGCTACAATAATTATTTGACTCGTTGCAGGTCCCAGTTTTCTGAGGACCCAAAACAGTTTTATAATTTTGTTAAAACCAAGCGTAAATCCATTACTCGTCCGTCCTCGCTCTCTTTTGGTAATTCAACAGCAGATAATGATCTTTTTGCTCAGTTTTTTGAAACCACTTACTCCAACTCAATAGACCCAAATCAGGCTTATCCTTACATCATCCCCAAATCGAACCAAATCTTCAGTCCTACCATTAACGAAAGCTCTCTTCTTAGGGATCTTCATCGTGTTAAGCCAGTTTTTTTACCAGGTCCCGACGGAATACCAGGCTGTGTGCTTAGGAATTGTGCCGAAGCCCTGTGCAATCCACTTCTCAAATTGTTTACCTTATCCTTAGAAACCTCCCACTTTCCCCTTATTTGGAAGGAATCATTCGTTATTCCTCTCCACAAAAAAGGTAGCAAATTGGATGCCAACAATTACAGAGGTATCTCTAAGTTGTCGGCCATCCCTAAACTGTTCGAAAATGTTATTACTCCTCATCTGCAGCACCTGTGTAGGTCAATTATTTCTCCATGTCAACATGGTTTTATTAGGCGAAGATCAATTACAACGAATCTGTTGGAGCTTACTTCCTTTATTATAAAGGGATACCGAAATAACTTTCAGACAGATGTAATCTATACTGATTTCAGTAAAGCATTTGACTCTGTTAACCATTCTCTTCTTGTTCGGAAACTCGATTTAATGGGATTTCCGACTGATCTTCTTAATTGGATCTCAGGTTATCTAAATGGCAGGACGCAGAAGGTCCTTTTCGAAAATAAACTATCTAATGTTCTTAGGGTTACATCTGGCGTCCCGCAAGGGAGTCATTTGGGTCCCCTACTGTTTACGTTATTTATCAATGATCTGCCCGAAGTTTTGACCAACTCCAGAGCACTTATGTATGCTGATGACGTCAAGCTTTGTGTGCAATATAACGATGCTACTTGCCAATCAGACTTACAGACAGATCTTAACAATTTTCAAACATGGTGCTGCATGAACTTATTAAACTTAAACGGCTCTAAGTGCAAGCTAATGACATTCTCCCGTGTCACTCCTAAGCCCGCATCTTATACGCTAAACGGCTGCTCTTTGGAAAAAATTAATATGGTTGATGATTTAGGTGTCCGTCTGGATCCTAAACTTGACTTTATCGATCATATTTCGTGCATGGTGAATAAAGCCAGGGGTGTGCTTGGTTTCATTAAACGGTGGTCGAAGGAATTCAATGACTCCTATGTTACAAAAACGTTATATACTTCACTTGTTCGTCCTATTTTAGAATATGGATCCTGCGTTTGGAGCCCTCAGTATGGCGTCCATAGTAAACGCATAGAATCGGTTCAAAAGAACTTCTTACTTTTCGCTTTACGCGGTTTAAACTAGGATGCAAACCAGAGGTTACCGTCTTATTCTAGTAGACTCTTACTAATTAACTTACCCTCCTTATCTGATCGTAGAACCATGCTAGGTATTACATTTTTACACAACTTAATCCGTGGTGACGTGGAAAGTACTGACTTGCTCGGTCAGCTAAATTTTCACGTACCAATAAGAAACACCAGATCCTTTTTACCATTAGTTTTGCCCCACTGTAGAACATCCTTTGAACTGCATGAACCCTTTAGAGTCCTCTGTGCAAATTATAACGATTTGTACACAATAATATCTAACGTTGATAGCCTCCCAAAACTAAAAACTTCAATCTTAACCCACTTACGCATGCAAGCAACCAATCCGGCAGTACGCCAGTAGTAGTCTCCCCGCATCCTTTTTTTTTTAAGTCCTTCGCGTTTACTAATTGCTAACAAGAACAAGCACGTGCTTGGTGTCGCAAGTTCCACTTGATATGTACTGTACATAGTGCATCAACGTCTTGCAAATATGTAGCTTTTTACAAACAAGTATTAAATCTGGCAGCTCATTTTCATTTCTAGCCTTCAAAGCTTAAATCGTTCCATAGACTACGCAATTTTGCTATGTGGGTTGATACATCGTTACCTGGATTCCTGGAAAAACTCGTTGCATTCCTGAATACCTGGTCCTTCGCTGTTGCTTCAAACTGATTTTTCAGAGCTTCCCACGTATCGTGTGCTGTCTCCTTGTCCATGATATTCTGGTACACCGAGTCCGTGACCGCGGTGGTAATCATGGATTTTGCACAGCTGTTGGCCTTACGAAAAAAGTCGCTCATCTCCTTGTGCTTCTTTTCATCTACTGTTGAGGCACCTTCTGGTAATGGATCCGGTTTGACGATCTTTCCGTCCAACGCGTCCGTCGTGGTAATCAATCAGGTCCCTAATTTTTTTTTTCCAAATCTGCCAATCGGTCGCACCTGGGAGCTTCGTCACGTGCTTCACCAAATCCATTGTATCCGAGAAAAATGCAATCTTTTCTTTCACTTCAACTTGAACAAAACGTTCCTGTGTTTTTAGGTTATGTCGTTTTTGATGCTAGAGATGTGTTTATATTTTGTTTCGAAACAATCGATATGATATTTCGAGCGGCACTCTAACTGGGCGGGTTTTTATACCCTTGCAGGGTATTATAATTTCAGTCAGAAGTTTGCAACGCAGTGAAGGAGACGTTTCCGACCCTATAAAGTATATATATTCTTGATCAGCATCAACAGCCGAGTCGATCTAGCCATGTCCGTCTGTCCGTCTGTCCGTCTGTCCGTCTGTCCGTCTGTCCGTCTGTCTGTCTGTCTGTTTCTACGCAAACTAGTCCCTCAGTTTTAAAGCTATCTGAATGAAACTTTGCATATAGTCTTCTATATACTCTCACTGCTATATATGTCGGAACGGGCCGGATCGGACGACTATATCATATAGCTGCCATACAAATGTACGATACATTTCTAGAAAAAAATTTATAACTTTGCTGTTTTTCAAAAATTTTGCTCCATTTTTTAGATATGGCCATTTTATATTATTTCTGAATTTTGGTAAAAAATTTATGCAAATCGGCCGACTACATCATATAGCTGCCATAGGAACGATCGAGAAATAAATAGGAAAAAAATTATAGCTTCGTTGTTTTTCATCGTATGTTTATCTACTCTGAGATATAAGCTTTTTTTATTATTCTAGAATTTTGGTATAAATTTCATAAAAATCCGACAACTATATCATACAGCTGCCATATAAACGATCTGTAAATGTAGAGAAAATGTAAAGCTGGGAATGTAAAACTGTAACTGTCAAACTGTAAACATAATAAGTATAGGTAAAATGTAATGAAACTCTGTTTTTGTAAGTGTTTTCAGCATTTAAATCTATAATATAAACATAAAAACCAATCTGCAAGGGTATACAAACTTCGGCGTGCCGAAGTTAGCTTCCTTTCTTGTTTAAATTAGAAACATTTATCTTTAACAGGCCTGTATTCCTGTCTACAAAAAAAAATATTTAATCGAATGCCAACAACTTTAGTGGAATCTCTAGTTGTCAACCATCATAAAGCTTTTCTCATTTGCAGTGTGGATTTATTATGCGAAGTTCAACAACATATTATCTTTTAGAGTCAGTGGGGTCTTTCTGTTAAAAGAGCGATGAATCACTTTTACATTGAGGATTTATCAGCATTATTCATTAAATAGTCAACATTTTTTCTTGTAGACAGAAAATAAGAGAATCGAGGGCACGTAATCATTATAAGTGAAAAAATAATCATTATTTAATCATTATAAGTGAAAAAATAAAAATCAACGTTTAATGATTATCTATTGATTTTAATATATTTTGCTTACCATTAATAATTATAATTTTATTTATTTTTATTTACTGTATTACTCAAAGAATAATTATTATTTTGAGCGAAAAAAGTTCGATAAAAAAATAACGATTATTTCGCTCAATGTTCAAACTGGTCGCTACAAGGTTTCGGGCACAGTTCAATGGGTCGACACATGAGCAGTACATCTGACTACATGACACAACAGTATTCTTGGGACCAAATGACTGGAAGTCAGGCCAGGACTCTGCTCAACACCTCAATATATACACCGACGGCTCCAAGATGGAAGGAGGAGTTGGAGCGGGCATATACTGTTCAGACCCTGAAATGAGGCTGTCGTATGAGCTACCAAGCTACTGCAGTATATTCCAGGCGGAAGTATTCGCCATCAGGAAAGCAGCAGAGCTTGCGCAGAGCATAAACCGTCCACATGAGGCGGTCAATTTGTTCGTAGACAGTCAAGCGGCGATAAGATCCATGCAATCATCAGCGGTCAGTTCCAAAAATGTACTGGGAGTCACTAGATAGCCTAAGCACGACTAAGTCAGTGAGGATCTACTGCAAAGCCACCAAGGCATAGACGGTAACCAAACCGCGGACGAACTTGCAAAGGAAGGCGTTGGACTGGCGAGTGAAAGAACAGAAAACGTCCCTATCTCCCTAAGAACGCTCCAAAGCGAGCTAGAGAGACGGGCTGACGCAAGCGCAAAAAGCAGGTGGAGGAGTAATTCTGCAACCTGTAGAATATCAAAAATCATGTGCAAAGAACACAACGAGAAACTCACCCACTACGTGCTGCATCTTCCGCGGAAGGACTGCCGAATGTTAGTGGGTATTCTTACAAGTCACTGCCTGTCTGCTGCACATGCAGTCAAGCTGGGTATTACCGACAACGCCAAATGCCGGAAATGTGATGAATCCGAGGCAATCGAAACCTTGGAGCATCTCATTTGCAAATGTCCGGCCCTAACGAGGGCAAGAATGAGATACCTAGGCTCTCCAGGTCTGGCATCGCTAGAAGATGCACTCCTTGCCTTTGCGAAAAACACCTTGATATTCAAGGATCTCGAAACCCGCATAAATAGTCTCTAGGTCCATCCAGGAGTTTCCCTGGATAGCTATGGGCCATATTGGCCTATGTGTGGCCCCTCGAGGGCCGTCCGGTCTAACCTAACCTAATGTTCAATAACTTCTTTCTAAGAGGTTTCTTTGAATTTTTTTTACATGATTTTATTATAATTTCTTATAAATCAAGAACAGACAAACCCAAAAACTTAATTAAAAAACAAGAAAGAAAGCTAACTTCGGCACGCCGAAGTTTTGTTTACCCTTGCAGTTTGCAACAGGATCATAAGGAATCGATCCATTCTGGTCAAATTAATAAAAAAAACAAGAAAGGAAGCTAACTTGCGCATGCCGAAGTTTGTATACCCTTGCAGATTATTTCATACCATTTTACCTACACTTATTATGTTTACAGTTTGACAGTTACAGTTTTGCATTCCCAGCTTTACATTTTCTCTACATCTACCGATCGGTTTATATGGCAGCTATATGATATAAATGTCCGATTTTTATGAAAATTATACCAAAATTCTAGAATAATAAAATAAGCTTATATCTTGAAGTAGATGAAAAAACGTTGAAAAACAACGAAGTTATAGTTTTTTTCATATTCATTTCCTGATCGTTTCTATGGCAGCTATAAGATATAGTCGTCTGATTTTCATGAAATTTTCACCGAAATTTTGAAATAATATAAAATGGCGATATCTAAAAAATGGTGCATAAATGTTGATAAACAGCCAAGTTATAATTTTTTTCTAAAAATGTATCGATCATTTGTATGGGAGCTATATGATATAGTCGTCCGATCCGGTCCGTTCCGACATATATAGCAGTGAGAGTATATAGAAGACTATATGCAAAGTTTCATTCAGATAGCTTTAAAACTGAGAGACTAGTTTGCGTAGAAACGGACAGACGGACATGGCTAGATCGACTCGGCTGTTGATGCTGATCAAGAATATATATACTTTATAGGGTCGGAAAGGTCTCCTTCACTGCGTTGCAAACATCTGACTGAAATTATAATACCCTGCAAGGGTATAATAAAAGGAAATATTTAAAAGGTGTATATTTATACATAGCGTTCGCAAACGGAGTCCCCATACTACCAGAACTAGTACCTATTACTAGATTATTAACCAGCTCAATTCATTGTCCACACCTTAAAGTCTCATGCCTACTTCTGGCCTCCTCTCCGATACGGCCATTCTGAGAAATGGGTCGTAAACGTAATCAAGGTATTCTTGGAGTCAATGCGGAATTTTATAATGGAAGTGAAATTGTTGTTTGTACTTTGGGCCTTATAGAGCTTAATAAAAAGCATACGAGCCAAAATTTGTGTGCTGTTACATCCTTTTTAAATAGCTTTGCCATTACCAAGCACCAAATATACACCGTCACAACAGCCAACGGGCGTAACATGGTAAAGGCCGTTAAGCTCTTAAGCCAGTCGGTTTAAGAAGACGACATTGATCAGTTTTGTGATGATTCGGCGGATCAAGATGATCAATGGTTAGATGATGAAAGTCTTCTGAAGGGCTTACGCATTCACAGCATCCAAGCTGTTAAATGTGCTGCACACCGATTTAAGAAGCAAGTTTTCTAGAAATTAATTGCAAAAGCTTATATTTGTAAAATTTAATAAATAAAATTCTTTTTTACAAAATCGTAATAGTATTTAAATGAATTAAAAGAATTTTCTGGGTTCGTCTGTTGTTGATCTATAAGAAATTATAATAAAAAAAAGGGTATTGATATATTTAAAAAAAAAAATTATTATAATAAATTTTATTAAAAAATAAAAAATTAAATTTTTTTTTAAATTTAAAAATGTTATTTTTGGGTTCGCCTGTTTTCGATTCATAGAATCATGTAAAACAATTTTCAAAAAAACCTCTTAGAAAGAAGTTATTGAACACTGAGCGAAATTCTGAGCAAAAATATATCGCTCAAAATATAATCATTATTTTTTTATCGACAATTTTTCGCTCAAAATAATAATTATTATTCTTTGAGCGAGTAAGTAAAACTCAAAAATTAATAATTAAAATTGGTTTATTATATAAAAATTTAGATTTCAGGAATCATTGGTTATCTTGAAAGAGCATCCAAATTGTAGCCGATTGGTATAATACGTTTTTTGCTGGCATTTCCAAGTGGATGATTTTTTTATTTAAAGACATGGCTTTGTATTAACTTTTATTTTTCGTTTTGAACGAAACCGTAAGGTTTAATTTTTATGTACTTCGGTTTATTACAAACTGTTTGCAATAATTTTGTTATCCAAGAATCGATATAATTTGGAGATGCTACATACAATTAACACTCCGACTAACTAACTACTGAACTACAAGACTGACACTGAAAACTGCGCTCACATATACAGACAATTATTAGGAAAAAAGAGAACAGTAAAAAACTCCACGTCAAACAGTTCACTATGGGGTATTTGACCACTTTATGTAGCATTAATGCATTTTTTGAAAGTGCTCTAATTAAAAAAAAAATAGTGGCAATGTATTAAAAGAATATCAAACTGTTATGCCTCTCATACTCAAAATGT